AATATATATATAGTGTAGATAATATATATATATATATATATATATATATATATATATATATATATATATTTATTTTATTTTTTTTTTCACAAAAAGTGCAACTTTTCTACAATATTCTGCAGTCAGACACTTGAAAATAAACATTGTACACTCTGACTCTCACACTCTGCACATTGCATTAGAATCAATTAATCGAACACCAACACCACCTAAAAAAAATGACGGCAGTTCTGAAAATAATCTATACCTCAGGGTTTCAATTACATGCTTTTATAGCAGATATCTTTGTTGAGCACTTAACAGTTGGAGACAGAATCCATCAGCATAGATGGATGGTTTAATAATGCATTACAAATGGTTCACATGGGAACGATTCATGAGACGCCAGGTAGCTTCTCTGCTCATGTTTTCACTAAAGTAATAGCTCTGCTTCATTGTAGACTTTAATTATCCATACAAGTAGTTGGAAAGGTGCCATGGTCTTATTTTATATTTTATGAACATTCATACATGAGACTTATGCCGTCGCGGTGGGTGCATTTCAAAAGAAGTTTTTTTTTTTTTTCCTCCTCCTCTAATTCTGGAGGTACTGAATGCCTACCTTTTCAGACTAAACTTTCCTTCAGCTACTGCAAGGAACAATTTTCTGATTTTACCTTCATATTGTAGCTTAGGGTTGCTAAGTGCTTTCTGAGCACATTGTTAAATATTTAAATGTCACATTCATGAGCTTTGTGTAGATTTACGGTTTTACTCCCGTTTTAATATTGGAGCAATTGAATATTCATACAATGTGCTCTGAGTAATAATGTCCTTGCGGAAAATGAAAGAAGTGCTGTAAACATGAATAATACAGTGTAACAGGGAGAAGTGCCTACATGAAAAGATACATAGAAAGCAAAGTCAGAAAGAGGATTGTGGTGAAGAAGGAAAGGAAGAAAATGTACCCTTACCTTCCTTGATGCTTCAGGTGGTTTGGAAAGTACTGACTCTGAAGCATAAACTGAGCCTCCTCAGTTTTTGCGTTGACAATTGATGGCAAAACAAATATTGCTGGGATGGATGGGTGAATTCAATTTTATGTTTAATGCGTCTTCAACTTATTGGTTAGGTTATTGCTCTGCCTCTGTGGTTCTAAATTGGTGTTTAGTTCTTGTTGTTTGCCATTTGTTGTTTCTATTCCTCTTTCTACTCTGTAACTTAAAGTATCCTAGGGTCTTTTAATGATATTAAACAACTGATTAGATTAAAGATTATTGCCTACCTGTGTGTGAATGTGTGTGTGTCTCATTTTACAAGTACATTTTTTCGGTCTTCCTCAGGTTGTCGGGAAGTAACGTGCCCTCTCCGATCGTTAGCAACAAGAACTGGCTCCGACTGCATTTTGTCACCGATGGCAACCACCGTTACCGAGGTTTCAGTGCACATTACCAAGGTAAGATCAGACGAAATCATCTCAATGCACCCGCACACAGGATGCTCCTGGTGGTTAAGTGTGGGCTAACAGCGCTCTGCTCATGAATAGCTTTTATTTTTGGCTTTTAATTTACTTTTAGAAGGTTTTTATTTTGTTTCCTTGTCCCCTTGTTTTGTTTGGTTTCTGTTTGAAATTCAATCCTCCAAATAACTCCTCTTAATCACACTTCTTGAACCCAGTCATTTTGTCTCAACAGCGCCTTTCTCCCTGTTTTCATCTCTCTGCTTCCCTCTCTGTCCTTGTTTTTTACATAGTTAGCTCTTTTGTTTTCTCCTGGGTAAGTGCTCATAAGCACACAGTTTTACTTTTCTTTGATGCAGCCCCTAAACGGTGAAAGCGGTTGGAAATTTATTTGGCAACAGCCATGTCTCCCAACAGCGATAATGAGAGGTGAATTTGTGCTCAGCGGAACGACTGGGACAGATAGTGTTTTTATTTACACTTCACTTGTTGTTCCGCCCCCCCCCCCCCATTTCAAATTTACAACTCAATTGTTATTCAAG